GCTGATCTGAACGCAGGAGCCAGGAGCTTATTCCAGGTCTCCCACTTGGGTGCAGGGGCCCAAGGACTTGGGCCATCTTCTACTGCTTTCCCAGGCCATAGCAGAGAGCTTGACCGGAAGTAGAGCAGCCAGAACTTGAACCAGTGTCCATATGGGATGCCAACACTGCAGGCTGTGGCTTTACTTGCTACGCCAGAGTGCTGGCCCCAGTTTACCTTTTTAAAACATTCTTATTTCACAATAGTTTTGATTTATAAAAGAGTAGCAAAATAGTATAGGTTTCCATGTACTGTTCCCTAAATGCTGATGTTTTGTATAACCACAATACCTTGATCAAAACCTCCAGTTTACTTTTAAATAACATTGTGATCTAAGTTCAGGAAGATTTCTGCCCTCTGACAGCAGTAAAATAAGCTGAAGTCTATTAAGAATAAGAATTCTGCTTTTCTAACCAGAAATTTTAACTGGAAAAAGAAATGAGAGCCATAACATCATAGTGTCCTGGTTGCCTAAGTGGCTTGGGTTGCAAACATTTCTGTGGTCTACCCTATGAAATTTCAGATGCATCAGGCAATAAGCTTGCAACTGTAAGTTCCCATATTGCCAAGGTCATAGATACGAGTCACTCAAAGACTATGCCTCAGAGATTATATCACAGATACATCTCAGTGTTATCCTGTGAGTCAAATCAGAGTTCATTCTGATTTTCAAAGCACTTGTATCGGATACTATCCCAGACTCTTCAGTCCTTCTTTTTACTGTCTGGTTAGGAGTCAGGATCAAGCTGTGTTGGTATGAAAACATCAGTCTTTTTTGCCCGTTTTCTTTTTCTTTCACTGTCATGTCATCACACCATGAGCTGTTCTTCAACACTCAGAGCCTTAGAGAACTTCTCTGAAGCTTTCCCTGGCCCCTCATTGCCGCCTTCTTCCTGTCTGTATATCCTGCACAAACTTGTATCATTGTAAACATGATACTGTGATCATTGTTACTACTTGTTTACATATCTATCTTCCTTACTAAGTGTGAAAAAAATTAAGAAATGACCAAGCCTTATTTTTCCTTTGTATTCTTAGGAATTATCTCATGACATGGAACACAGCAGGAACTCAATAAATGAACAAATTTGGAGCCATCCTAACATGTATGTCCTACTAACTGTAGGAAAGCTAATTTTATCCTTAAGTTGTTAGTAGTCATGTGGAACACAGGCAGTCCAAGTAGGAATCCTGAAGTCTATGTTTTTCAAAGTGCGGCTTGATGATGAATCACCTCCATTAAGGATTTTTTGTGCTGTTAAAAGTCACTGCCACAGACTTATTGAGTCTGAATCGCTAGGAAATGCATCCTGAAGCTGCATGATTTAATAAGATCTGCAAATGCTTCTAATGTGCATTGATATTTGAGAATCACTGGCAGGTAAATTTCTTTTTCTTTTTTTTTAATTTTTTTTTGACAGGCAGAGTGGACAGTGAGAGAGAGAGAGACAAAGAGAAAGGTCTTCCTTTGCCGTTGGTTCACCCTCCAATGGCCGCCGCGGCCAGCACACTGTGTCTGGCGCACCACGCTAATCCGAAAGCAGGAGCCAGGTGGTTCTCCTGGTCTCCCATGGGGTGCAGGGCCCAAGCACTTGGGCCATCCTCCACTGCCTTCCCGGGCCACAGCAGAGAGCTGGCCTGGAAGAGGGGCGACCGGGACTAGAACCCGGTGTGCCAGCACCGCTAGGCGGAGGATTAGCCTGTTGAGCCGCGGCGCTGGTCAGGTAAATTTCTACTAGTCTGTCAACCTAGATATTTTCATATCTTTCCATAGAGATCTTGAGGTGGGTATAATCAATGATATAACTATAATTAAACAAGATAATATTAGTATCAGGGAGAAGGTGTAACAGCTGTTAAGACTAAGCTTCAAATTGGGTTCTAAGATACATGACAGGAGTGGCAAAAAAAAAATAAAGTAAAAGAAAATAAAGTACAGTACTCACTATAGGAAGGGAGAAGTGGCCATTTATCAGGAAAAGCTATTTATGGTCCATAGGCACAAAATCTAAGCAGTTTCTCACTTGGGATCCACCTGGGGGCAGTGACTCACAGAATGAATGATCTCTATTTTCAACAAGATTCCTGGCAGACGTCAATTCCTATACTGAATAAAATATGCTGGAAGCTCAGGATATGTGCTAGAACTGCCTGTACTTCCATGTTGTCATACTATTTTGTTTTGTTTTGGACACATTAACTCCAATAGTGTCTTTCCAATTTGCCAATAAAGGCAAATCTTCATATAGCTCCTTAGATAAGCTTCTTGTGTCCCTTGTCGTAGTGGGGCCAAGCTAAAGTTGAAATCTCTCACAAGTGTCAGGAATGCAGGTACAGAGCATTGCTGATTGAGGGTAGATTTATGTTCTCTGGACACCAGAAGAGCAGTTGGTAATGTTGACGACATTCTGCTCATGAAATGTGAGAAGCATAATCAGCAGAATTCCCTGGAGATGCATCCAGCTTTACAACAATGTAAACAGCAGACAACAATACCAACTGCAGCCAAAGAGCTACTGTGTAGACACTGTGCACAGGCACAGCCCAGTTTAAGAACTCAATCCTTGAAATAATATTGCCCCATTTCACAAATGAAGACGGTCGGCTTACTGAGGCCAAGTAAACTACCCCACCACACACAACTAGTAAGTGTCAGGGTCAGGTTAACACCCAGGTCTATATATGGTGCTAAAACATGTGTACTTTCCAGGATACTGACCACACGACAAAAATATAAAAAATAAAAAGAATGATAAAGGGATCAAAACATCTGAGCTCCTTTGCTAACTTGGGTAAAGTAATGATCTTTCTGGTCTTAGATTTCCCTATCTGCAACACGAGGGATTGAACCGCATGACTTCTCAGTCTCATAACAGATTTAGGATCTATGTCTACTCTTCTGACAGGAGCAGATGTAATAAAGACAAACTCTGTTTTAAATAGAAATTTGAAAAATTTGCCATGGGCCTGTATCGCTTCTACCTCGCAGATGAAGAGGACAAATGGAAGAAAAAGCTGCACTTAGCTTCATGAGGGCTTAAGTCACTGCTTCTGCCTCACAGAAGTCACATCAGCCCTGGACCTAACACTGATATCTGTTGTTTGACTGCTTCCTCTGTGTCGTTCATTCCTGAAAGGGCTAGAAGTATTTCATCTAAGTTATCCTTCCACAAATTATGAGACTGATAGTATTATCAATCTTTGTACGGATGGGATAGCAAGCACAAAGAGACTAAGTAACCCACCAGGGATTTGAACTCAGGAAGTTTTCTCTAAGTCCAGAGTCCATGCAGTTTTCTCAAGAGATTAGAGCCCAGGTTATTAATTATTGTGTTATGTTCCCTACAAAATCCATGGCTTGCACAGTTTATCATTCATGGAACTAAATATACTAATTAAAACCTCGAAGTCATGTATTTGATATCTGAAGGAAATAACTGAGAGTAAAATTGTTCCGACTCCATATTGCCATTGAATTCTAATAACTTTCTAAGACATCTTTGCATGAATCAAGAGAATTACATTCTGGGAGCTGGCATTGTGCTGCAGGGGGTTAAGCCACTGCTTGCAATGCTGGCAGCCCATATTGGAATGCTGGTTCAAGTCCCAGCTGCTCCGCTTGTGATCTAGCTCCCTGCTAATGTACCTGGAAAGGCAGCAGAGGATGGCTCAAGTGTTTGAGCCCCTGCCACCCACCTGGGAAACCAGGATAGTGATTCTAGGCTTCAGGCTTTGGCCTGGCCCAGACCTGGCCATCGTGACCATTTGGGGAGTCCTCTTTTTTTTTTTTTTTTTAAAAGATTTATTTTATTTGAAAGACAGAGTTAGAGAGAGAGGTAGAGACAAAGACAGAGATTTTCCATCCTCTGGTTCACTCCCCAGATGGCCGCAACAGCTGGAGCTACACTGATCCAAAGCCAGGAGCCGGGAGCTTCTTCCTGGTCCCCCAAGTGGGTGCAGGGGCCCAAGGACTTGGGCCATCTTCTACTGCTTTCCCAGGCCATAGCAGAGAGCTGGATTGGAAGAGGAGCAGCTGGGACTAGAACCGATGCCCATATGGTATGCCAGCGCTTCAGGCCAGGGAGTTAACCCACTGCACCACAGCACCAGCTCCAGGGAGTCCTCCTCTTTTTCGTTCTCCTTCTTTTTCTCTCTTTATCTTTCTCTCCCTGTCACTCTGCCTTTCAAGTAATATATATATATAATTTATATATATATATAATTTATATTTTGAAGCTAAGCTCAGTGAAGGCATGGCTATCTCTGCCTCATATAGTGCCTGGAACATTGCTCAATGCATCTTTTTGGATGAATTAATGCATTAAAAAGAGGGAAATTTTCCTCTTCTGGGTATGTATGTGTGAACTTGTGCTTCTCGTCTTAAAAACCTGAAATTAAAAACTTACTCCAGTTAGACTACACATATTTCAGGTCTTAGTAAGTTTTCACTTCAAATAATATAATACCAACATTATACTAAATATTTTAAAGTGCATTTCCTTCAACACTGCAAATTAGTGACACCTGTCATTTGACTTGAAGCCTTCTCTGTGTGGTGCTATAACTATTATATAACATATTTTTACATTAGGGACTTAGTGACAAATTTTCAACTAAAGGACCATTTTTGGTACTCTTTCCTGAAAGCTGTACAGAACTCCTTAGATGAAACCACAACAGACCATCCCCTAAAGTCAAAATCAATGGGTCAAACTCTTCTTTTAGAACATGCACCCTATGAAGTCATGCAGATTTAATTTTCCCAGTGGTAGCCTCCAGGGATACCAAAAGGTTATGATTTTTTCCTTTGGTTTGGTTTTTAAATACACAATGTATTCATGACAGCAAATCAAACCTGTTAGTGGCATCAAACGAGTGAGATTGATGCCCGGAACAGGACCACTGCAAATTTATTAAAAGTGCAATCACTGAGGGCACAGCACACGTTGGGGTTTTAAATACCTCTCTCTGTGGCATTTGTCATATTAAGAGCTGCAGCATAAACAGAGGAAAAGGCAAATCAAACGTGGTGTAAACATTACATGATCTCTTCCGCTTTTGTGGATGCACCAAGGGAATCTGATCTGTAGGAAGCAAGGCAGCCAGAAGCCTAACATTTTGAAAACAGAGCTGATCGCTTACAGTCATATCTAATGACATCTGCCTCGGGGACACAACATATAGGAATTGCAGTTTGTTTTGATGTTTTGGAATCCTACTTGTCTTGTAGACGGCATACGCTGCAAAATAAAGTCCTTAGGAAAAAAGCTCTGAATAGATGTGGTCAGTCCTAAGGGTGCACGGTAAAGCTTCTCATGCTGAAAGGAATCTCCAGTCAGGTACCCTGACAAGCCATGGGGACTCACGCACTGAAGCCACCTCAATTTTCCATGTGGCTTGCCCTTCTGTCCCAATTCCCGAGTACCTTTCCCATGTGTTGACACAAACTGGTGCTTTTCAAAGCCCTGTGAAGATGCGGAGTTGTTTAAACATTGGGGAAGTGTATAATAACCCTCTACCCAGGAGGGTTCTGATCTTGTTCTTGCTCTGCTGTAGACCCCCTGCTCTCTGGACCCTCCTTCCTCTGCTAGACTCTCTCCGTACTTTGTACTGAAGCCAAGATGCCTCTTCCCATTGCTGGTGATTGAGAACTCTCTCTTCATTCCTGCTGCACTCCCCAATTTTTTTCTTCATGGTTTAAAACTCCAAGGGCAAGCAAGGTAATAAGAGGAAATGCAATCAGCAGGGAGCCTAATGTACTCTATTAATTTGTCTCTCCACTACTCTGCATTCAATCAGTTTCTATGCACAAAGCAGGATTCATCTGAATGTAAAATTTGCCAGATATAATAAGATCTAATTCAGTCTCAAATAAATAAATCTTTTTATCACACTTAAGTCAAAGACTGAAGGGGAGGAAAGAAAACAAGGATTAAAATAAAATTACTTGAAAGATTTATGTCTGTGGCATAGTGTTCACATCCATGTGTGTGCGTGTGTGTATGCCTCTGGTCAAGAAAAGATATCCAAAGTAGGAATCACATACTTTAGAGGTTGTCCAAAGCAACCACTATAGCAATCTCCCCTTGAAAACTCCAGTACTGCCATTCAAATCAGCACTTGGCCTTGACCTGTCCCTCTGTGGGTCTTCCTGTGCTTGGGAGGTACTCAGGAGGAAACTGTTTCAGTTATAGAAAGGAAACCATGAGGATTATTTCTTGGCTATACACCATATCTAGGGCACAAATGTGAAGCAAACAAGACTGCCTATTAGAAAAAAATTCCTCCTCTATGGCCCTGAAAAGTCTTAATCTCTGTTTGCAACCTAACACATTTAATTTCAGCAAACTGAATTTTCTGAAGGCAAAGGACTACACAGAATCAATCATCTTACTGATAATGTTATTTTCATTTCTATGAGCAACTAAAGAAAGTAAACAATCCTGCACAGAAGAAATAGTTCTAGTTAAAAATGTAGAAAACTTATGAATCAATATAGTTGATTTATCTTTTTTGTTTTATTGTTGAAGTCATATATTTATTCTCATATCTGGAAACAGCTAAGGAATGACCTTAACTAAGGAGGAAAAAGCCACAAATGAGGTGTGATTAACTGCTGTTGGCACCTGTAAGATAACTCAATTTCAGAGACACTACAAAAAAGAAACAAAAAATCATAAGAAACTAATGACCATGAGATGCCACCCAGATACGGTAAAACATGAAAAGATTAGCACCTTAGAATTTATAAAATGTGAAACGGAGACTTCTATGGTTATAGCAGACAAAAGAAATGCTCACACCTCGCCATGGAACCTATCCTAAAGCCCACTGTTATACAGGTACCTAGGACAGGTCTAACCTTCCCAAAGGAAGAGTCTCTACAGGTGTGAGATGGAGAGCATGTGTCTGCATTTCAGATGACTGTGGAGTTTGGGAAACAAAATAGACTTCCTTGCCAACATCAAATCATGTGTTTGTGTGTTTCTCACAGAGCAGGGCATCCCTTTTCTATAGGGATTTACCTTGCTTTCACTTTTGTGTTTGTACTATAAATCAGTAAACCCAATGAAGTGTGGGAAATGTTCATTGAGAAATCAGAACCCAAAGTGAGTTTTCATGTTGGATCCTACAAACCACTATAAACTGACAAACTCCAGATTTTTGTCCATCAGTAAAAAAGGAGAGCCAAATGAACAGCTGATCCATCAGCAGCTGCCATTCTCTGATGGTCACCCTATTCCATCTAGGCGACTCCATGGACTTCCTCTCGCAGCACTCTTGCTACTGCCCTGAGGAATTCCTTCCTTTCCTAGGGAAATGACATGTTCAAGTTGCACCCATCAGCATCTCCACCACCCACATTCCTTACCCAAAAACGACCTAATCAACAATTGTTTCTGGGAAAACTTTTACCTTCCCTGAGTTTGTCTTAGAGAAGAAAAGAGCAGCAGAAGTGCTAAATTAACATCAGACCAATGAACAGAAAGGTTCATGTTACTTTATCAAAATTGTATAATACTTGGAAGAAATATTTTCCCCAAAGCTTATACTCAGATGGTAGTTCTTTCCAATTAGAAAATTCTCTTTATAAAAGTTGAAAAAGTGGGGCTGCTGCTGTGATATAGAAGGTAAAGCTACCATCTGCAGTGCTGGCATCAGATATGGGTGCCGGTTTGGGTCCTGGCTGCTCCACTTCCCATCCAGCTACCTGCTGTGGCCTGGCAAAGCAGTGGAAGATGCCCCGAGTCCTTGGACCCCTACACCTGCTACACTTTTTAAAATGTTCCAAAAATATAGAGCTACATAAAATATAAATGCATATTATGAAGAAACTATGACCAGCCTTCAAAATCTTTTTGCACCAAAATAAATTTATCCTTTGCTTCCATTTTTTGGCAATCATTTTGAAGTACCCTTGTACATTTTATTCTTATATAACTGAGTCAGCCTTTCTAGGTGTTACTAGCAGGAAGACTTTCTTATTATCTCTATGGGATATGACTGGAGCTATACTGTTTCATCCCAGGTTAAAATATTGGAATATTTGGTGATTGGATATTAAAGTCAAAATATATTTGGTACAATAAGATTGCACGATTTATCACTTCAATATCTCTCTTTAAAAGTCTCAATTCATTTATACAGTTTTCTGCTGCAGAAAAATTCAACACTTATGCTTTACCTTTGAAATAAGCTTTCTACATTTCATGAACCTGTACCTGTACAAGAGTAATACCAAGGACAAAACCATGCAATCATACAGATTGTTGAACTCCATACTCATGGTCCTGTTTGTGACCAAAACCTCAATGCTACCCACCCCTCCCCTCCCTGACACACACAATCCTGCTTTACTCGTGAGTCATCTCTCCCATCCCATAGCTATTTTAAAACCTTTCCATTCTCTTCTTCCTCACCCCCTCCCTTGGTCCCCTTACAAAAGCATTTTCAGAAGATAACATTACTTTCCACTTGTTAGAAGAAATAGAAACCATGAGAACAGAGCTTTCTCAAATTCCATCCACCAAACTTATGAATGGATTTATATTAAATGCCCACTTTCTTCCTTCTCCCTGGTGCAAGGAAGTCCTCTCTTCCTATGTAATGAGAGGTGCCATATAATTTATATTGAAAGCCTGGATAGTCATAAAAGTAGAAGAGGGACTCTATTAATAATTGTTGCAGGACAACAGGTGTAATCCAGAGCTGTCCTGGGAAAACCGGGACATGTGGTCACCCTCTGCACAAAGTTGATGCTTCCCTTCAATCTCTGAGTACAACCCTGTGCCTTCTTAAGCACCACATTCCCCTGACTACTTTCCCTCTCTCTTGTATGTTCTAATGTCCCTTATCATTAACACGTTTTAATACTTTCAATATTTTATAATAATTCAATCTTTTTGAAAGAGAAATCTTGCCAAACAATACTACCTACATGCCATGCATACCACCAGCTACTGTTCCCTTTTTTTAACTCCTCCCCTTTCTCTGCCACATCTGTTGAAAAATTTGCCTCTTTCTCTCCCACCTTCTCTCCCTCCCTCCTTCTCTCCCCTCAGGTATAACTCTGTTCTTCATTTACAGAATTCTAGCATCTTCTCTCACTGCCATTCTGATACTACGCCTAACAATGCACATAGAACTATCTTGTTTGTTAGTAGAGTGGACATTATTCAGTCTTACTCAATTTCTTAGACTCTGCTATCTCTTTACTCTTGTATAAGTCAGCTACCCTCTCTGTTCCTCAGTTTCCTGAAATGGCACAATATAGAACCTTCTTCATAGATTGTCCATGGGGTTAAAAAACATAATCTGCCTCGCACATTTAGCTTTATATGTTAGCCACCCATTGCTCAACCTTTTAGGAAGACATCCATGCTGGACCATGCTTGAGTGGATGTTTCTATCAGTGATACTATATGTGGTTTTTACAACTTTTTAAGACAAAATAGAAAGGTAGAATAGTTTCACACAGCCATTCCAGAGATCCAGCAGCCTGAGGATGACAATCTAATAGGGAACTTTATCTCTGTGTGGTAGGGCATTTCTTTCATATTTGTTATGACAGCTAATACTAGTTAATACACTGTATCCAATCCATGGCCTTCCATGTTTGGACTAATAGAGGTTGTCAATGGCATAGCCCTATTGTTCTCTGGCATGCTCATCTGTGATAAGTATAGCCCAGCATCAAATAGTATTATGGAGTTCTGATTCTATATAGCCACTGCATCAATACTTTGTGCAGTGACTACATGGTGCATATTTATGTTCATGTATCCTAACTGATCATGGGCCAGCCTCACCTTCAGCCCTCACTACTCCCAAGTTACTAAGAATTTGCAGGTACTTTCAGGGGTTCTTGTAGTCATTTCTCTATTGCTTTTTCACCTTCTCTGCATTGTAGGTTGAGCTGACCTTTCCAAACTATAAGAAAATAAATGTCTGTTGTAATCTACTTAATTTACAGCAGTTTGTTTTGGCATCCCTAGCAGACTAATCATGTAATCAAGTTCTGTTGCACTTTGCCAAAAATACTGAAAATTCTACTATCTCAAGTGCTATTTCAAGTATCCATTTTGTTATATTCAATTAATGAATAGAATTTGCAATAAAATAGATTATCTGGGTAATGTCCTTGTGGCTTGATCTTAGGGAGTTTCACAAGTAATTTATTCTAATACATTAATAAATATTAGGGATAATTCACTTTAAAAAAACTTAATAGGGCAAATTTGCATTATAACTTTTGACAATGCCTCACCTCATTTTTCAAGTAGAAATCAGTTTTTCAGAGCTTCCAAAGCCAAAACTGATTTGTTGCTAATATTATGTTCTAATATTAATAATAATGACAGTAGATACCATTTATTAAATGCTTATTATGTGTCAGCAACTGTGCTAAGCATGTCACATATTTTTGCTATTATTAACAGGGACTAGAATTGGAGTAGAAATAAACATGTGTGCTAAAATGATCATCTTACCTACTAGTAGAGTAATTTTAAATGGTATTATGAACCCCAGCAAGTTTATAAAACCTCTAGAATGTATTAACTGTTAAAGCAATAGCAATGCCAATGCTGTGCCATAGCAGGTAAAGCTACTGCCTGCAGTGCCAGCATCCCATATGGGCACCAGTTTAAGTCCCAGCTGCTCCACTTCCGATCAAGGCCTCTGCTATGGCCTGGGAAAGAAATGGAAGATGCCCCACGTCCTTGGGCCCCTGCCACCTGCATGGGAGACCCAGAAAAAGCTCCCAGCTCCTGGCTTGAGAGCAGCTCAGCTCCTGCCATTGTGG